CCTAGTCACATGCCCAAAGAAGAGAAAAGTTGTTGTGCCCTGTGTTTGTGTATACTTCATGGTTGGGCTAGACATGTTCCATAAGTTTGGGTGGTCTAACTTTATGCCCTATGTAAGTTGGGTATAAAGGGATAAATCATTGAGAGATTATGAACTATTGTCTGCTAAGTTGACTTCGGGAATGGTGAGAGTATTTACTTTTGTGGTTTGGCCTGCATGTGACTGAGTCATGCCACTACTTGGTCTGAGTTTCAGTTGATAGGTAGTTGCTGTAGTTGCTCGCCACGTGCTAGAGTCATAGGAGTTAGTCCAATTCCTGCAATTTCTTGAGCTGAGATTTTTTTACTTAGATTAATTTCTGCATTTTCTGGGATCTTTTTTATACTTTGGTCTTGTATAAATCTTGGTAAGCCACTTTCCCTACGGAGAGCGCTGCCGAAGTTTCTACAAAACCAAAGAGTTAGTCAAACTTTGTCTTTTTCAGAATCCAGTCCTTTTTAACTTTTTGACTTAGCATAAATCTGAAAAGCCTCATTTTCTAAAGGAAGTGCTGCCCAAATTTTTGCGAAGTTCAGGAATTTAAACAAAATTGGACCTGAGAAGTCAAAGTCATTTCAGATTCAGGACTTGGCTTTGTATAAATCTTGGAATAACACTTTCCCTACGGGAAGCGCTGCCGAAATTTCTACAAATCTAAGGAGGTGGTGAAAATTCTGTCTTAACAGGACTCAGACTTTATGCTTGAGTTCATATCTGACCTTGTGTAAATCTGGGAAGTCCTCCTTTCTAAAGGAAGTGCTGGCCAAATTTTTGCTAAGTCAGGGAGTTAGACAAATTTTGACTTTCTAGAATCAAAAAGTTTGATTTTTGGGTCAGTATAAATTCTTCGATGGCACTTTTCTTACGGGAAGCGCTGCCGAAATTTCTCAAGTTTAGAGAAGTTAGATTATATTTGACCGATGGCAATTCTGGGAGGTCCACTCCATGTAGGAGAGATTACGTCAGGGTCTACCTTTGCTTTGGCACCTGCTTAGAGGTAGGCTTAGGCCTAGTTAGTTAGGGCGATCTAGGTGAGGTCGTGGTATGGAGACTATTCTCCATGAACTTACAGATTTAGCTTGGGGATTGAGCTGTCTTGTGTTACAGGTCTTCTTGTACGAGTCGATTCAGGATTCGGGCTAGATTCAGCTTGATCCTACGAGGATCACCTTCTGTTATCACTGATAACAGGTCGGTTGCCGATTCGTCGGTTTACGACTCAATTCCAATTTACCCTCAATACTCAACCTAAAAAGGCTTTAGCCCTGGTGATTTTTATTGTTTTGTTAAGGTTTCACCCGGACTTTTATTGAATGGCCATTTAACAAAGGTACTGAGTATTTAATTATGGTTGGTTGGACAGGAGGCTGGGGCTTGCATGGCTAAAGCGAGGGGTATGAGTATGGAGAGTGGTTGGGGTTGACTCCGTGTAGTGCGTGGACCTTGTTTGACTCTTTGATGTGATTGCAGGTATGTTCTGTGGTTCGAATTTTGGATTTGAATGCCTGCGATCACACATACACATATGGTTGTGAGGAGCCCCACTGTGATTGTGAGAAGTGATCGTCACATACTTATCCCCCTTGTATATATATCGTCACAAACAGAACTACCCGGTAAACCGTCGGCAGAGAGAGAAGAGGACAACAAACGAGGGGCTGTAACAAACTGTTTCGTCGGAGTTTCACCGACTCATCAGGAGGCTGAACCCTCAACAGTCTGCAGAATCCCCTCACTGATTACACT